TAAGCGATCCTCCTGCCTCAGCCTCTTGAATAGCTGGGACTACAGGTGCACGCCACCACACCCGGCTAAGTTTTCTATTTTTTGTAGAGATAACATCCCACCTTGGGAAAAGCACAGACCACCTGCTCAGCAGGAACTCCTGCCCTCAAGTGATCCTGCTTCAGCCTCCCAGAATGCTAGGATTACAGGCATGAGCCACCGCACCTGCCCATGGCTTGTTTTTAACTTTTTATTTAGAAATAATCTGAAACTTAGGCTAATAACAGACAGATAAAGAATAGTACAAAGAACATCCATATATCCTTTACTCAGAATTACCTATTTTTGAAACATTTTGTCCCATTTATCATTTATTCAATTTCTATATTTTATTTTCTACATTTTATTATAAAATGAAATGCTTTGAGAGTAAGGCACCATGCTTCCTTAAAAGTAAGATACGCCTCAATGTGCATTTCCTAAGAATAAGGATACTTTCTTGCATAGCTATAGTACAATTGTCAACTCCAGTAAACTGAACATTGATACAAACACTTTTATCTTCTTTCTCTACCATCTGTATTCCAGTTTTGTCAATTGACCCAATCATCTCCTTGTAGCAATTTTTCCCGTCAGTATAGAATTCAGTCTAGGATCAGGCACTGCATTTAGTTGTCAAGTCTTTAACTGGAGTGTTTTTAAAAGTTCTCCAGGTGATTTAAAGTGCATCTTGGACTTTAGATCACCGTGTAAATAAATATTTATTTACTAAACTCCCACATATTGAGTGCCTGCCAGCTGTAGAGTATTATGAATACAATTAGGAGTTTATGATTTTAAGGTCCATACTATATACAAATCAACTATAATATCAGAGGGATAAATATCATGAAAGATATTTTAACAAATCTGTGGGCAGAAACTTTAATTACATTTAACAAGGTTACCAGGAAACTGCTGGAGAAACAGATAAATAAGAAAAAGCAATTAGTGTACAATTAACACATTATTATAATATCACAAAAGTGAGGCTTTTCCAAGGTTTTTCTTGGAGGAGGTGGGACTTAAATGATAAACAGGATTCAACTTTTAGAGATGCAGACATTTCAGGAGTGGAAACCACAAGAGGAAAACTAGATGCATTTGTAGTGGAGTAAGGAAAGAGGTGTTCGCTGCGATTTGAGAACTGAGCGCGTGGGGATGTATTAGGAGACTCTGCTGAAGAAGTAGTAGGTTGAAGAACGTAACATGGTACAGTCACTTTGCAAAACAACTTGGCAGTTTCTTAAAAAGTTACACATAAATTTACCACACAACCTAACGATTTCACTCCTGGGTACCTACCCAAGAGCACACAAAAACTTGCATAACAATGTAATGTTCATAGCAGCATTATTCACAATAGCCAAAAAGTGTAAACCCAAATGTCCACCAACTGAGGAACAGATAAACAAAACATGGTATATCCACACAATGAAATAAATAAGTGAGCAATAAGAAGAAATGAATTCATGGTATGTGCTAAACATGGATGAACCTCAAAAATATCATGCTAAGATTTAGCAACTAAGTGAAAAATCAGATGGAAAGGATCACACACTGTACGATTTCATATATAGACAATTTAAAGAGACAGGAAATACATTAATGGTTGCCTTGGGCTAGGGGTGAGAACAAGAACTGACGACGAATGGGCACAAGGGAGAATTTCTTCAGGGTGATGGAAATGTCCTAAAACTAAATGACTCTGTAAATTTACTAAAAAATGTTGAATTACACACTTAAAACAAGTGAATTTTATGATATGTAAATTATACCTCAATAAAGCTATAAAATTAATCAAAAATTACTAATAAAAATCAGGCAGAAAGAAAATAGGAATAGCAATCTTAGAAAGGAGAAATATAATTACTGAAATTCTAAAAACTTAATAAATGGGAAAAACCTCTGGACCGGACAAACTATTTATAAGACTGGCAAATCGGAAGACAGGATTAAGGAATTTATTAGGATGCAACACAGAGACAAAAACAAATTTTTTTAAATATCGTTTCAGGATATAAATGGAGAGGCTTTCTCACCCACCTAATGGCCGTTCAGAAAAGAGAATGGAGGTAAAGGCCTAGAAGCAATATTTTAAGAGAAAAATCACTAATAATTTTCCAGAATTAAAGAAAGCACACAAGTCCTCAATAGAGAGTACTCTCCTACTTTTGCAAAGGATATAAACTGACACCGAGACAGTCCTAGTGAAACTGCTGAACATCAAAAATAAACAAAACAAAACAAAACAAATCTGTAGTGCTATCAAGGAGAAAAGGCAGATTATCTACAAACAAAGGAAAATTAGATTGGCAATAGAATTTTGAACCAGAAACAATTACAGTAGTACCAAAAGACAATGGAGGATTTATCATCAATGTGCTATGGGAAAATAGCTGTTCGCTAGAATTTTATACTCAAATAAATTATCACACAATAGCAAGACATTTGAAAACAAAGATATTTTCAAAGATACAAAGAATTCCCTTCCCCACTAAGACCCCTACAGAAAGAACTATTAAAGGATGGACTTCAGCCAGAAGAAAAGTGAACCTAAAAGGAATGTTTTGGATTCAAGAAAAAAAAAAGTGAGCAGAGAAATTGATAAAATGTCAGTAAATTTAATTAACATTTAACTGTAAAAGCTATTTTTAAATTTAAAAAGTAAAATAAAACTCTAGGCAGCAATACCAAGATGGGAAGGGGGAGGGCTGTTAAATAGGAAAAGCATGCAAAACTCTTTTGTGGGAAGAAGCAATTACATGATAACTTTGTTAGAAAAAAATTATAGTTACGTATGTATGTTGAAAATAAAAGACAATTCCAAGAAGAATAGAAATAAAACCAAAAGCTCTCAAACCAGCAATGGCATTTAGATCACTTTACTTATTCAATAGCAGGCAGCAATGAAGGAAAAACAAGCAAGGAGAAAGAATGGCAAATGAAAAACACAAGATATAATGGAAGAATAAGCCCAAATACATTAGTAATCACAATAAATGTCCATGGGTTCAATTCACCTATCAGAGACACAGCTAAAATAAAGTGCGTAGAAAGATTAAATATGAAGATATGGAAAATAGTGTGACATATAAGTAGTAGACAAAAGAAGGGCTGCATATCAATAACAAAACTTTATAATGTAAGCAAGTAGCATGGAAAATGGTAAAGACAGACATTACAAAGTAAGAATCAACCATGATTTTCAATGCAGAATATACTTTAAAAAATACTGCCTACTATGTGCCAGGGATCATGCCTGCCTCCTATACTGCTATATCTTCAGTGCTTGGCACATGATAGGTGTGCCACAAATATTAATGAATGGAATGATCACCATATTATATACAGAAATGATCTGTTTATCTGTTTGTCATACTACAAGGACAGGGGCCATGTCTTACTAATTTTTATGCCACCAATATTCAGCATAGTGCCTGGCACTCCATAAATTCATGCTGAATTCAAGGATCATCTCTTCTATAAAATCTCCCCTAACTATTCCTGATTTAGGAATACTGATTTATCCTTGGTTTCTACTTCTATAGCACTCATAATCTGAAAAACCCAATTTAGTAGTTGATGATACAGTAAAATCTTGTACTTTTTCCTCAGTATTTCAAACCTTGTTTTTCCAAAAATATTTTAGATTCTTTGAAGATATAGAAAATGCCTACTGTGCAAAGTGCCTTTCCAGATACTTGAATAAATAGGTTTTTTGGTTGATGTCACTAGATGAATGCAGGTTAGATCAATAGTGTCCCCTGTACATGCCAAGACCTCCAAGGGTTATATCTCCATTCCCTTTTTTCAGCCCTTGACTAAAGAGATCACAGGCTCACATGCAAAGAATGTGGAGAAGTTAATGGGAGGCGTGGGAGAAGGCAGCTAGTGTTCGATTCCAAGCCTCTGTGCCTTATTCCTTCCGGCAAAATAGGGGGAAATGCCCGTGATCCCACCAAAAAGCGGGTCTGGGAAGTGACAGGGAGATAGTGAGGAAAGACAGCACGCTCCTTACACTACTGGACAGAACCCAGACGTGACCTTCACCGGCAGGCACGGTATCAGGAGTTTATTGTAAGACCGAAAGGAAACTCCAAGGCAAATAGCAAAATTCATCCACTTGAAACCTTGCAGAGAAGACAAGGAGGGATGTTCTTTAACTACAACTACACACAAGGCACAGGAGGGGGAATCTATGACAAGGAGCTCCTAATTGGGAAGCTGCAGGGGGTTAACAAAGAGCACTGGTGGCATCTTGCTGGTCTTCTTGAAAAAGACACAGTCTGGGGAGGTTCACTCAGGGCCCTGTGATGAGGTAGGGAGATGGGCTGGCTGACCTCCCAAGGTCCTTTCTAATCCTATAATTGTATGGTGATTCGTGCTTTTCCCCATTTATGCTGCTACACAGCCCTGCATCCAGTCGATAGTAAGTCCCCTGGGATGCCTTCCAGGTTTAGTGCGGTGCCACGCAAGCTGCTGACACTCAACACAAGACTCAAATATTTGTTCAATGAAGGAATAAATGTATCAAGTGTTTAAATAGAGCCCACATAGCCCACATGACCTCCCCAGCCGTAAAGTATGGCAGTTGAATGAAATCCCAACATTCAAGGCACGATCACTTGAGCAAAGCTGGCAAAAGAAAACACACACACACACACACACACACACACACACACACACGCACGCACACAGGCAATCGATTCACATTCCCACCTTGGGAAAAGCACAGACCACCTGCTCAGCAAGCAGGTTGCAGGGGAGTTTCCTTAGCAAGGATCCTCTCTGCTTGCTTTAGAATGGTACCTCCGGAAGGTCAAGTCACCCAGATTTAGGACCGCTTCCCTTCCTGGTTGGCCTCTGAGATAAAGTTTCTCTTCAGATTCGGCCCGAGCCTCCCGGGGTGCATCCGCACTCCCTCCGTGGCTCGGGGCGCCCGGGCACGCGGCTCCCCGGCCCGCTGCGCCCCACCTTACCTTGGTGAGCTGAGCGATCTTCTTGCACATTTTCACGTGCATCTCGGGATCACAGTCCATTCTGCAGCCGGCGCCACCGCGGGCGTCGGCTCTGGAGCCAAGGCAAGTCCCGGGCGGGTGGATTTTGCTGTTGAGAGCAGAAGCCATCGCTAAAACGCGCCCAGCACTCAGAGGCTCTCGCTAGTGTTCTCCTTGGTCTCCGTGTGCACGTGCGTGCGCGCGCGGGCGTGTGAGGGTTTGGGCTTTCTCGGAGAGGTGGCACTGCAGTCCCGCCGCCAGCACCGCCGCGCGGCCCCTGCTTCCCGCGGATCTCCGCCTCCCGGGCCCACCCGCTCGCCCACCCTCCCTCCTCTCATGCGGGCTCACTGGCTCGCTGACTTCACGGGCACCCGCACTCTGCAGCGAGGCGCGGGCGCCCCGCACGTGCCGCTGGGGATAGGCGCGCTGGTCCCCAGCCAGTGCGGGTTCGCCTGCAAGAAGAGAGCTTCGGCGGCTAGGAGCCGCCGGCCTTGAGGGGTTTGGGCTGGGCGGGCGCGGCGTTCTTGGACACGTGGATGGCGCACGGCTCCGGACTCGGTGGCAACAGACCCTGCCCGAGCTGGGCATCCCAGGACAAGGAGGAGGAAGATCTTCCGGCGAGAGACAGGGCACCATGCCCCGCGGCTCCGTAGTCTCCGAGCTCCGAGCAGAGGGAGGAGGTGGGGGGCGGGATGCTAAGAGAGGGGCGGGGAGGTGAGGGCGAGCCGCCCGGACGCTAGGAGGTGCGGGGTCCAGGGCGCATAGTGTGGGCCAGAGCCCGAGCGGCAGGAGCGCACGGCGGGGCTGGGGGTGGGAGCTCTCCTTCCCGGATCTTGGGTAGGAGCCCGGACGTTGCGGGAGGATTGCCCGAGATCCCGGAACAAAGGGGAGAAGCCAAGGGTATGGCAGGGGAACCGGTGAGCGAAATCTGAGACGAGACAGCGCGGAACATAAAGTGCGGGAAGCGGTGGGAACGCAGAGAAAAAGTCGCCAGAGAGGTAGAAAGGACGGTGGCAGCTGTGGGAAAGGAGGAAGCAAAGAGGAATGGAGGAGTAGTTGAGTAACAGATGGAACTGAAAATCTAAGTAAATCGAGCCCAGTGAAAGTGAAATGACTCGTCCAAATCCACACTGCTGGGCTTGGGTCAACTGAAGCCAGAATCCAGTCAAGTTTTCAGATTCTGAGCTGGTGCCTGTATAGTTTGTTTGGAGAGGGAAGGGGTTAGCAAGCCAGAATCGCTCTGGCTTGCTTTCTCTGGTTTAAAAGCAGTGGGCTTTAAAGGAAAGTGATGGCACCCTGATTAGATTTTCCCCAAGCGTGAATAATAGCGTTATGATACTAAGCAATGTTCATCTTACAAACAGCATTTTTTTTTTTTGAGGCAGAATCTGTCACCGTGGGTAGAGTGCAGTGGTGTCATCATAGCTCACTGCAACCTCCTGGGCTCAAATGATCCTCTTGCCTCAGCCTCCCAAGTAGCTGGGAGTACAGGCCCGTGGGGCCAGGTAATTTTTCTATTTTTAGTAGAGATGGGGGTCTTGCTCTTGATCAGGCTGGTCTCGAACTCCTGAGCTCAAGCGATCTTCCCACCTTGGTCTCCCAGAGTGCTAGGATTACAGGCGGGAGCCACCAAGCCCGGCCCAAACTGCCTTTTATCAAGAGTTTTAATAATCACCATAAACAAAGCAAGCATGCTTCAACTGTCGGGTCTTAGAAACCACAGTCCCACCTCTCTAATTTTGAAGGTATCAATACCCCTTTTTATAGATGAAGAAAGTTGAGTCAGAAAATTTGTACCAAGTTAGGCAATTACAAATAGCAGAGTTGTTTCCGGAACTGAGATATTCCTATTCTAGATTCCTTATTTCCCTCCTCCTACTACATTACACTGCATAAGAATGGCCAGCCTGGGTTTTTGGTTTCTAGTTTATTATCTTAGCTTCCCTCTCCAGGACAACCCCTCCTCCTTCCCCCAGTTCCTTTAGAAAACAGAATGTCTGAATCAGAATTACCACCAAGAGATTTCTTGGGCTCTATCCTAGACCCCCTGAGTCAAAATCTCTTAATTCCAAATTGTATATTTAGAGTTTTTTCTGCAGGATCTTAATATATACTAAATTTTACAGGAATTCAATCACTGTGTAAACTAGAGGAAAATTAGCCTTTTTAGTCCAGAACTTTACCAAAAGTTGCTCACCATTTTGGAAAATCACATCATTAATGCTCATGTGGCTCATGGTATTCAGTTGTCAACACACTTATTACTACCGTATTCACAGTGAGTCTACTTATACGTGAAAGCATCTGAGTACTACATTATGTCATAAAGTTAATCACACTAGAGCATTTATATATTGAAACACAGTCATCCCTCGGTATCCATAGGGGATTGGTTCCAGGGCCCTCTTGGATACCAAAATCTGATGATGTTCTAGTCCTTTATGTAAAATGGTATAGTTACATATAACTTATGCACATCCTCTTTTGTACTTTAAATCATCTCCAGATTACTCATAATACCTAATACAATGTAAATGCTATAGAAATAATTGTTATACTGTATTTTTTTTAGGGAATAATATCAAGAAAAAAACAGTCTATATATGTTCAGCACGGAGGCAACCATCCATTTTTTCTTCCCCAAATATTTTTGATCTGTGGTTGGTTGAATCCAAGGATGTGGAACCCACAGTAAGGAAAACCAACTATACATATTATTTAATTATAATTACTTCCCTTTCATTTCTCCTTTATATTGCTGTCAGAAATTATGCTAATTTAAAAAATGTGTGCAAATAAAGTATATTATCTATGGACTTCAAGGTAGTAACATGGATGTTATAAAAAAGGTGATGTTAGGTCTGAATAGAATTGAGAACCATTGCTCTAGGATGATCTTATATGCACTAAAGTTTAGTAAAACCACAGCCTAACCTCAAGTTCTAGTTACTTAAAAATGATTTTATTAGGTCCAGGGGCCAAAACCTTTTCCAGTAGGCTATACTATGCTTTCAGCTTTATAATGGAAGACAGTGGGAAAATCAGATTCCCTTATCAGCTTTGTTGGACCACAGCTGCTGTAATCAAGGTAGCATGAGCCAACCTGCTTGGAAAGAGTCCTCTGCAGCTCCCAGGACTTTGCAGCACTGTGCTTCGTAGGTCCATTTACACTATCAGGAATGAAATAGAGGGAAGAGGAGAATTAAGTACTTTATCAAATGTGGGGGAGGAAGAATATTTATTAGATCACTAATGTGATCTTGGCACTGTGATAGGCCCTTTGCACACATTCTCACCTCCTCTAATATACTTATTATCATCCTTATTCTACAGACGAGGAAATTGCAGCTAAGGCAGGCTGAGTACCCAACTGTAAATAGCCAGTAAATGGATCTGGGTCTATCTGACTTCAAAGGCTATATTTTTTCCAGAGCACAATGCTGGCAATCTGGAAATTTTAAAACCATAATTGATTGTCTTTTCTTTAGATTATAAATATAATCTTCTTATAGTACCCCTCCCAAACAACATCATCCTTACTACAAAAAATTGAGTAGAAGAGAGCAAAAGTACCCCAATTCCCACACTCAGAGAAAATTCCTTTTAATATTTTGGAGAAGATCCTTCTAGACATTTCTCTGTACACACATAGAAAATACTACATACTTACATGCATTTTAAAACACAGATACTCAATATAAAGTGACATATTTTTGCCAATAAAAATCTATATTCCCATCTTTAACAACCAGTATTCCATTATATACCATAATATATTTACTCTACCCTCTATTGGACAACTCTTTTATTTTTTTTCTGTTTTAAGCAAAAGTGTTTCATATATGTTTATAATATATGATTGCTGTATTATGAGACTATTCAGTTATGTTCTAAAGGACAGGGAAAAGAATATATGAAACTCACGTTAAGCATAATGGGCAAACAAGTAGCTTGTGAAACACACAGAATTCTTAAGATGTATTAAGTATAGATAATATACTATAAGACATGACAAAGAGAATAAATGTGATATATGTAAAAAAGCATGGACCAAACAAGAATGTTACTAATGGACAGAACAGGATGGGAAAGGCCAAGTTGTAAGGTACAGATGATGCCATCTTTAGGCTGATAGTTATGCTATCCCTAAAATGGCCATTCATTAATGACACCCATTCTGGTCCCATGTATGTTCTGCTCCAGAAACACAGATTAAAAACATGGCTATCAGAGGCCACTAGCCAGGCATACTTGCCCCTGCAGATTTGTGACAGAGTAAGCATGTACTGGCTCTAAGCAGTGCTGAGCCTCCCTTTTCAATTTCAGTTGTGTTCCTCATGACCAAATTATCAGAGGCGAAGGCTGATGTCCCAGACAGGACCTAACAACACTGCGTAACATGGGTTCATGTAAATTGGTCCTCTCACCTCTCTTGGACCCTATCCTAAATGTGTTAACCTTCACTCTATCTTTCCAACTTAACTTCTTTTTGTTTAAAAGTGATAAACCATGTGATTTGGGCACCTTAATTTGGGCCATGAGGTTTCCTGTCCACATCTGGGATTGCCTGCCTGATAGGGTATTTGAAGGTTACCAATTGCATCAAGGTTAATTTCTTACACGACATTGTTGTCATTTTACATGGGTTTTTGCACAGATGTGCAAGTATTTTCGCAGAAATACTCCCCCTACATCAGTGGTCCCCAACCTTTTTGACACCAGGGATCGGTTTCACAGAAGACAATTTTTCCATGGACCAGGGTGGGGTGGGGTGGGAGGATGGTTTCAGGATGATTCAGTTGCATTACATTTATTGTGCAGTCAAACCTCTCTGCTAATGATAATCAATATTTGCAGCTGCTCCCTAGTGCTAGCATCACTACCTCAGCTCCACCTCAGATCATCAGGCATTAGATTCTCATAAGGAGCACGTAATCTAAATCCCTCATATGTGCAGTTTACAGTAGGGTTGGTGCTCCTATGAGAATCTAATGCTGCCACTGATCTGACAGGAAGTAGAGCTCAGGCGGTGATGTAAGCAATGGGGAGCGGCTGTAAATACAGATGAAGCTTTGCTCACCTGCTGCTCACCTCCTGGAGTGCCGCCCAGTTCCTCACAGGCCGTGGACCGGTACCTGGTACTGGTG